GCCTCACATGCCAGCGCGAAAAAGCCTAGAGCGCCTCGAAGGTGATCTCCTGAGTCTCGACCTGCGAGACGCCGTCGATGTCCTTGAGCTTCGCAAGGAACTCCTCCTCGAGCGGGTTGTAGTCGGCGCCAGCCCACTCTCCGTGCTCGTCGAGCGGCTGGACGATCGACACCTTGAAGTCGAGGCAGCCGCCGCAGACCTGCCGCGTCACCGAGGCCTTGGGCAGTGCTTTGATGCGGGGCAGGAACTCGGTAAGCAGCTCCTGGCACGCGGCGAGCGACTTTGAGTCGCCAGGCCCGCCGCTCTCGCCCGGCGAGTACTTGCACCTGGAGAGCGGCGACGGATGTGGAGAGCGGGTACGGCAGCCGTGCTGATGTCGTGCGGAGGCCTCACCGCCACTCCCGCGCCACGTTCGAGAAGGCGACCTTGGTGTCACCGATCTCAGCCATCGAAACAGCGGCACGCGAGTTCGCAACAGCGATGGTCGCGCCGATGTTGAGGCCGAGGGCCGAGGTGAAAATCGAGAGACTCATGTGTGTGGAGAGCGCTGCGAGCTGTGCCGTGAAAAAGAAAATAGTTCTCCCAGCGGAGCTGGGAATAGGACATGAACGAGGAGGGCGGAGCTGCGCCGAAAGGCGAAAGAAGCCGCGAGAACAAGGGACCGGCAGGCGGCGGCGGCGTCGCAGAACGAGACAGAGGAGAGCGACACGACAGAGGAACGGTGCTCGCGGATTCGACTGTCCCCCCGATCGTGCCCACCTCCATGAGGACGACGGCGCCTTCTAAAGGTCCGTCGCAGGCTGTGCCTCTTTTGGTACCTGTGTCGAACCTGTGTGCTGCGCGAGAGAGTTCTTTTTGTTGGAGCACTTGGAGCACTTGGAGTGCAATCAGTAACCTCACGCCCAGGACCGGGGAGCTGAGAAGCGCACCCAGTTGGCCGGACGCTCGGCATCGGGTTACGGGCTAGAGAGCCCTAGCCCCGGGGGTGCGCGGTCGCAGGGCCATAACACGTCTCCGAGGGTTAGTCCGCGCTCCAGGTTTCCCCTAGCAGCGGAGCGCCCCCTCTACTCGGAGCTAAAGAAT